CCTGCACATAAAAGTTTAGTGTCAGTGAAATGTTTCCGGATCGAATGTGGAAAGCAGGGTTTCATACTATGTACAAAGCAACTAGCATAACTCACGTGGTGTAGTATGTGCCGTAGCCCTTCTTGGGAAATCCCTTCACACCCTTCTCCGCCAAGTACCGAACAAGCTTCACCCACAGTCCCATTGGCGCGTCGCATCTGCTGACAAACAGCAGTGAGTCAAGAAGGGACTCCACGCGCAGCTTCTCCTCGTCGACCGCGACTTGGTCGATCAGTGGCTGCCGTGCCGCGTTCTCCTTCAGAACGGCTAACTTCGACATCGCCAGCTTGTGCTTCTGTGTGCCGGCGTGCTTACGGATGGATTGTGTTTGCACGTCTGTAGCACCTTTCCCGCACCTCCCACATTTGCCTCGGTTGCCAGCATGGACTTCACAGACACTGCACTTAGATCCAAGGAGACCAAAGGAGGTTTTTATTAGCACGAGCCAGGGAAAGCGAGCAGACCACTGGGACTTGAATTTGTCGTGTGCGTCCTCATACAAATCTGCGATGATCTGGTCCATATCGATGGTCAGCCGTGGACGAGGCCTTTGAGATGGGCCGGCAACGTTGTTCTCAACCACAGCCGTCGCAGAGGTCTTCCCGAAACTAAGCGTCGCCTGCTTAAGTCGGACGTTGCGGGCTGCAGCAGTGGCGGGCGGCTTCACGACATATTGCGGTGCAGAACCAACGGTGGGTTCTTCGTCCATCGCCTCAGCAGCATCAGGTGGACTTAAGACAGCAGGTGCAGCTTCCTTTAGGAGGGGGATTGTGTCAGGCGTAGAACGTGCAACCTTCTCTAGTGCTAATGATCTAAGCAGAAAGTCTAGACCGGTTTTAGCATGAGGGACGGCATCATCGTCATCGCCTGAGGCGGTACCGTCGAGAACCGCCATGGCAGGGCTGAGAAAGCTTGCCGAGCAGGCACTAGGGAGGTGGTGGCAGCAGACAAAGGGCACTGGGACTGGGTGCAGACAAGGCTGCTGAAGCCTGAGGTGGGGATGAAACCCCAGCTCTCCGACGATGGCTCTTTACCCCTTCGCGGGCCATCGTTCCAGTGGGCTGGTTGCCTACCATGCACGCCAAACCACGAGCCGCTACTGCCGTGCACTGCTGTCTGCAGTGTTTCGTGGCAGCCAAATGCAGCAACGTGGGTGCCGTTGAAGTCCAGTGTGGATAGCAAAAGCTGCCAAAAGGACCAATCAACACCCACATCTGGTGTGCGCTGGTGCTTACGAGGGGGAAACCGCGCCGCAGGGCGGCGTCGGTGTGGAAACTGATGTGCTGTCACTGATCACCCGTGATTGACGGGGTAACAGTCTTGTGCCACCACTAATCCCGGGTTACGGCGCCAAAACAGGTACATTGAATCAGAGTCGGTACGCGTTTCTAGTACGTTCAATCAGAGTACACTAGAAAAAAACCTCTGAACTTTCAGAGTTGAGGCCATAACTTTCAGAGTTGAGGACATAAAAAATTCTGAACTTTCAGAGTTGCACTTAAAAAAAAGTCTGGAAATCAGAGTTTTTCAAGCAAATCAGAGAAATTTTTCTGACTTCTAGGGGCCTGGTTACACTGACATACCGTATCAGTGTAATAGTAATCCTCCAAAAAATTACCCAAACACATCAGTGTAAGCCCAAAATTTCACCCTTCTTATCAGTGTAGAAGGGTAAATTACACTGATAACGAGAGCCCTCTGCACCCGGGTATTATGTAGCTTGTTCCTATGAAAAGACACCCCATTTTTTTTCCTGTCTTTTTCAGATCCACCCTAGGGTGTTATGTCCGAGAGAATACGGGTATCTGAGGGCCTGCACAATGCATGAAGGGACAGCTTGCAGATTCAAAAGTAAACAAGCAAGACTAGAGAAATGGCTAGAGTGTGTCTTGTATCCTGATACTGCATGCTTATGCCACGTATTTACATCCCAAATTAAATATACGGTACATGGGTCTACCGGTAGAAGGTTTAAATCTTATTGCCTGATTTGTATACTGCTCTGCTGTAAAAGGGTTAAAAACAAAACTACCGGTAACAGAGGCTATGATAACAGCAGTACCGGTATGAGCGGCAACTTGAGAACAGTATCAATATGTTGTCATGCCATTGGATGTCACAATGAGGGCACACAGTGGCCTCAAATGGAATCAAATCGTACTTGGTTGCTCCATGCTGCAAAGCAAAGCTTTACAATGAGAGGGAAGGTGGGAAGGACTGGAGAGGGAAATTAGAAACAGGGAAGGGAGGGAGCGCAGGTGAGTCACAGGGTGCAAGCAGGGGAAATTGGCAAAAGGCACAGTCAAAACAGAGGACAAGCAAGACGGAAACAAAGAGGGACAATTATAATTGGAAAGCTGCCCAGTGGCTGAGAGTGCACCCTCCAGGTAAGACAGTGTCATGCACTGGTGACTGCAGAACTGGGACGAAACGCACATATGCGCAAGGCTGAGATAGAGTATGGTCGTGAAACCACCCAAGACCTTCCGAGTTACATGCCTGTTGAAGACAATAGCAGGGTTGAAAAAGGACAAGAGATGGGAGGAAGGGCTGAGAGAGGATGAGAGAGAGGAGGAAGGTATGAGAGAAGGGGACAGGGGGGAGAGAGGATGACAGGGGGAAGAGAGGAGGACAGGGGGGAGAGAGGAGGACAGGGGGAAGAGAGGAGGACAGGGGGGAGAGGAGGACAGGGGGAAGAGAGGAGGACAGGGGGGAGAGAGGAGGACAGGGGGAAGAGAGGAGGACAGGGGGAAGAGAGGAGGACAGGGGGGAGAGAGGAGGACAGGGGAACCATGGGGGGGAAACAGGGGAACTAGGGGGGGAAACAGGGGAACTAGGGGGGGGAAACAGGGGAACTAGGGGGGGGAAACAGGGGAATAAGGGGGGGGAAACAGGAAAACTAGGGGGGAAGACATGGAAACCAGGGGGCAAACGAGGGGAAGCAGGGGGAGAAAGGAGAGGAAGCAGTAGGTGAAGATAAGGGCACGCAAGGCGGGAAATCAAGAGCGCATTGTGGGAACCTGGGGGCAAGAAAAGGGAGACATGAGGGGAAGGAGGGAAAAGAATATGGGGTTCGAGGGGGGACATGAGGGAGAGAGAGGAGGGAGGGATCAACAGAGGTAGAAAGAGAAGGAAGAGGGTGAAGGGGTGATAGGAAAGGAGGGACGGTATGCAGTGCTGGGGGGTGACGGAGGACATTCATGAAGGAAACTGAGCGGAATCAGGGGGGGAAACTGAGCGCAATCAGGGGGGTAAACTGAGTGCAATCAGGGGGGGAAACTGAGCGCAATCAGGGGGGGGAAACTGAGCGGAATCAGGGGGGGAAACTGAGCGCAATCAGGGAGGAAAACTGAGCGCAATCAGGGGAGTAAACTGAGTGCAATCAGGGGGGGAAACTGAGCGCAATCAGGGGGGGAAACTGAGCGGAATCAGGGGGGGAAACTGAGCGCAATCAGGGGGGTAAACTGAGTGCAATCAGGGGGGGAAACTGAGCGCAATCAGGGGGGGAAACTGAGCGCAATCAGGGGGGGAAACTGAGCGCAATCAGGGGGGGGAACTGAGCGCAATCAGGGGGGGAATCTGAGCGCAATCAGGGAGGAAAACTGAGCGCAATGAGGGGGGGAAACTGAGCGCAATCGGGGGGGAAACTGAGCGCAATCAGGGGGGGAAACCGAGCGCAATCAGGGGGGGAAACTGAGCGCAATCAGGGGGGGAAACCGAGCGCAATCAGGGGGGGGAACTAGGGCGGGGTGAAAAACCAGGGCGTCGGTGCGGGAGAGGGGAATGGGCATGGGCGACAGGGAAAGGAAGAGAGGGCGAATAAGATGGAAGCTCAACGAATAGTCGGCGGCAGGAATGAGAGCGATGTTGACGCGGCGACAGGTGGGAGAGGAGAGGTCGACTGGGCGAGTGATGGGGTGGGGAAACGACGGCGACGGGAGGGGGAAAGCGAGATCGACAGGAAGGAGAAAACGAGATCGACGACAGGGGGAAAGCGAGGCCAACAAGAGGGGGAAAGCAAGGTCGACGGGCGGAGGAAGCGAGGGCGACAGGCGGCGAGGCGGCGATTGCGACCCGCGAGGCGAGGGTGGTAGGCGGGGAAAGCGAGGGCGGCGGGCGTGGGAAGCGAGGGCGGGCGGAGAAAGCGAAGGCGACGGGCGGGGTAAGCGAATCGCTAATTTCTCCCGCTCTGTCCATTTTCTCCGTGCTTCACAATCGCAGTCAGTGCATCATGCATTTCCCTTAGATTGCGTATACGCGCTGCACCTACTATATGATCGTCCCTAAAATGTGTTCCCTTGATATGCCTGGCTGGTGTGAGCGATGCTTGGATTCGATGAGCGGGTGTCTGAGTTTTTTGCTTGTTCTGTCGGCGAAGTCATCTTCTACTCTGCTCCAGCTCTCTAAGGTGGTAAGCAGGTTGTCTGCGAACTGTTGGGTTGCGACGTCTCGCATCTTTTTTCGCAGTTCTTCCGCACCTCATACACAAGATGCCCAACCCCTGCACGCGAAATTGCCTCGCACGTTCCAGAAACCTTGCACACGAAGGTTTTTTCCCGGGCAGTTGCACCCACGTTACAAGCACGTCAACCAATACGAACCACAGAAACAGAAGAGACCGAAGTCAAACAGTCAACGGTGAGTTACAAAATTTTGCTATAAGCCCTTTTTGCCCGACGCGAATTGACGAAACCTCCACGAAATGCATGAATCACTTAAGCGCCCCCTTCACAAGGCAACCTTGGGTTAGTCAAACGGACATCGTGTGTATTGCCTAAACCCCAGACCTACCAAACCTAGCGAGCGTTGACTCAGTAATTCTGGCTTCGGGTTTTAACTTGTTTGACGAAGAAAATTGTGATCCACCTCAACTTTTCAACGTCTAGCTGGTCCTGGGATGTAGAGGTTTGCCACGGCCACCGCCAACTACCGTACGTTTGACTCAGCGCTAGTCTCCTTGAATGGCGCAGGACCGCGCGACTGCTGCTGAAGGTTGCCGGAAACTCGTATATTCATGGTGAGCATTGCGTGTAAACCCTTCGCAATTCCGCTAGGTCGCAAGGGCGACAGCGGCGCAAGCTCCTCTCTGCCGCTTTCCCCCGCTTCTCGTCGCGCAGTTCCCCCAAGCAGCCGAGGCGACTTCTGTTTTGAGTGACTCGAATCTCACCCAAGCAGCCGCTCCTGCCAGGCGCTGCCTGCATGGTGGTTCCCCTCGCGCGGGGGTCACCCCTTTGCCGGGAAATGCGGTTTCGCGGGCTGCTGCGTCGACGGAGGCGCACTGCGAGACTGGCGGGTGAAGCATGGGTGGCCAGAGAAGCCCCAATGCTAACAAGCGTTGACCGGCGACCTTGGGGGCGAGGCGCTGCTGAGCGCTTCTGTCGAGCGGAATCAAAAGCCGCAACGTGCGGTGCGGAGGAGCACTGGACGGCCCGCGCTGGGCTCACGAGACCAGCAACGGTCTCCCTGAAACATCCCCTCTGACTGTTGCTCCCACCTCCCCACCTCCCCACCTCCCCCCTCCCCAGTCCCCACCTCCTCACCCCCCACTCTCCCCCTATCCTCACATCCCCACTCCACACCGCACAGCCTCCCTGCGCACGCGGCAGCCGGGAAGGCATCTCCTCGCTGGGCACAGGCGCATCCCCACCCCCACCACCATCTCCCTCCCTCCCTCCCTCCCTCCCTCCCTCCCTCCCTCCCTCCCTCCCTCCCTCTCTCCCCAGGGGAGCGAACGAGGATGGGCAGTTGGGCACGGGCGCGTTGGCGCACTCAGCAGCGCTGCAGCTGGTGCCGGCGCTGGCAGGGGCGGACGTGGTGCAGCTCGTGGGCGGCAGCAGGAACTCGCTCGCGCTCACGCAGGACGGCCGGGTGAGAGGGAGCACAGTACGGGTTCCTTTCCTCGTAATGTGTTTCTGTTGCTTCTTTTGCACGCATCTCTTGCACCTCCGAATCCCCAACCTTAGAAAAAGTTCTGCCTCGCTTCCCTCTTTCGTTCAACACCTGCCGTCGGCAGCAGCAGCACCAGTGCCTGTGGTGCTCTGCTCAAGCCACCACGTCCACACCCGACGTATACCTTTAGGAATGAAATCGGTGCCTTGCCTTCTTTTCACCCCCCCATCTGCCAGGTGTCCGTGAAGGGTTGGCACAACCTCCCCAGTGCTTCCTGCAGCCGCCCCCACAAACAACCTCCACCCCCAACCTTGAGCCCGACCCGAATCCCCAGGTGTTGGTGTGAGGATAGAACCAGCAGCTCTTCTTAAAAACCCTTCCTCTTCCCGCCCCCCTTTTCCCCACCGCCCCTCTCTGTCCCATCTCCGACCCACCAGGTATTTGTGTGGGGTTGACCTCAACCAAACCCCCCCTCCTTGTTCAATCAACTATGTATACCATCTTGTTCTAAGTACAATCATCGGTTCTACTTCACTTCTCGGGCTTATCACACCCCTCCCCATCCCACTGACCAACCCCCACCACCAGGTGTTCGTGTGGGGGTGGAACCAGCGCAGCACATTGGGCCATCCACCCGCCCCGGCCGCCCCGAGAGAAGCCGTCCCCTGCCAGGTCAGGTGCCAGCTCAGACGCTAGGTTAGGTGCCAGCCATTCTCAAGCCTGTATTGAAGGTCGTATTTTTCCCAAGCCTTGATATTTCTTATCAACTGAGCCAGCTGGCCCGTCAAAGCGTGTCACTTGTTTGCCGATTGACTCTCGGCACGCAGCACCTTCCATGCCATGCCCTCACCATGCCACTCCTCTTCCTCCGTGCCGCACACCAGTCTCTCTGCGTTGCCTTCTCTGCCCATGCTAACCTTTCGGCTTCTCCTGTTCCATGTACAGGTGGAGTCGCTTAAAGACGAGAAGATTGTGCAGGTGAGCTGACTCAGCTTGCAGGTAAGCTGACTCAGCTTGCAGGTAAGCTGACTCAGCTTGCAGGTGAGCTGACTCAGCTGGCATGTGCGCTGATGTATGTGTGCTGATGTATGTGTGCTGACGCAGATTCCTTAGTTGTTAGCTTGCAGATTCACCTGCATTGCTGATCCCTGCCGCCCATTGCTTTCTTTTGGACTGCTGACGTGGCAGGCAGCCATTGGAGGGTGGCACTGTCTAGCCGTAAACGAGAAGGGGACAGCGTTCTCCTGGGGTGGGTCCGTCCGTCCGTCCAAGCCCTCGTGCGAGGATGTCTCTCCTTGCGCTCGCCGCACATCGGACTAGTCTCGCAGCGCCACAAATGCTCGTCGTCATTGCATTGCATATCGTTTCATTGCCTTCCGTTCGTGACATTGCTTTGTTTTGCATTGCATGCTGCCAAGCTGTCATGCGGCGCTTCTGGCAATGTTGAGCCCACATCAGGGCAAGTGTCATCGTGTCCTGTCAAAACAAGCATCTGCGATGTTGTCTCATGCTTCCCGTTTCCCTATCGCTCAAGTGCCAACATGCAGGGCAAGTGTGTGCCACCCCACCATGTTGCGCAGCAAAGCTGATGTGGTAACCCTGTTACCTCGTTATTGGGTGACCCTGTGTTCCTCCCCCCCAGGCGGCAATGAGTACGGGCAGTGTGCAGCCAAGGTGGCTGACAAGCTGCACGGCAACAAGCTGAGCGCGCGCGACATCCTCTCGCCCTTCCCCTGTGTGCCGCAACTGCGCGTCAAGCAGGTAAGAGGGTTGATTGAGAGCAGATATGGGTTAGATGAGAGCGGTGCAAGCAGGTGTGGGCAGGTGAGGGCAGGTGCAGTGCGGGGTGGATCCGGTTGCCTACTGTTTTTCTCCGCCCCACCCAACCCCCCTGCCCCTTTTCTGCTTTGCCGCCGCCCTTTCCCTCTCCTCTCCCATCCCTTATCTCTCCAGGTGTTTTTTTTCCATCCACCCTGCTCCAGCTCTCTTCTCCCGTCTCTGCTCCATGCATTTATTTCTGACCGTGTTATCTGTTGCATGCGTAGGCCACGGTCCTTTCGTGTGGTGACTTTTGATTCTCCAAAGAATCTGGCCTTGTTCTCTCGTGGCAGCAGGAGGCACACACACACTCGCTGTTACTCAAGTGCATGCACTTCTCATCTCACTGTATCTTTTCCCCGTGCTGCCATAACCCCATACTCCCCTCACCCCATGCGCCATGCCCCCACCCCATACCCCTGTCCCCCCATGCCACCAAGCCTCTATCCATGTCCTGTGCCTTCCCGTGGCACAAAGTGGCAGTGGGGGGCACACACGCAGTGCAGTGCTGCTCACGACGGAGGGCTTCCCACCTCTGCACTGTTTCTTTCACCCCCATGCCCCCATCCCCTTATCGTCCCATGCCCCCATCCCCCATCTCCTCAGGTTTCTTTATCCCCTTATCATCCCATGCACTCAGTGGTGCTCACGAGGGAGGGAGGGCTTCTCACCGCATTGTTTCTCCCATCTCCCTGAATTTCTTTGTCCCACCTCTGCACTGTATCTTATACCCCGGTGCCCCATCCCGCCATGGCCCCATACCGCACCAGGTGGCATGGCAGCAGGCGGCACGCACTCAGTGGTGCTCACGAGGGGCATCTTTCCGCTGTATAGTTCTCCCAAACCCCCCTGTTTTCTTTCTCCCACCCTCCACTGTATCTTGATCGGCATGCCCCCATGGCCCCACACGCACAGGTGGCAGCGGGCGGCACGCACTCGGTGGTGCTCACGAGGGAGGGCGACGTGTGGGTGTGGGGGCAGCCCTGGCCGCCCGCTGACGCGTGAGTGCACGGCAGGGGGGGTGCCGTGCTGTGAGGACAAGGGGTGCCGGGGGGGTGCCGTGTTCTGTGAGGGTGCAGGGGGTGTTATGTGCTGTCAGGGTGCAGGGGGTGTTATGTGCTGTAAGAGGGTGGGTCGGTGGGAGTGTGATGAATTGTGAGAGCAGCTGCTAGTTGCAAGCTCCATGCCGTTTTGCTCACCTGTTCCTTCCTTTGCCACTTCGCCTTCTCATCTCTGCCCCATCTCATCTCTGCCTCAGCCCGCATCAGGGTGTGTTGTGAGTCAACTTGAGAGTCGCCTAGTTGCCCTCCCCATTCCCCATCGCTTATCCCCCGTCCACGATATTCATCCCATCCCCATCCCCACCAGCAAGCAGGTGTGGGTGCCGGCCAAGGTACCTGGGCTGAAGGGCGTGAGGAGCATAGCAGTGGGCGCGTTTCACAACCTGGCACTGCAGGGGGATGGCCGCGTGGTGGCGTGGGGTAACAACGAGTATGGACAGCTGGGTACAGGGGACACACAGCCACGCTCGCTGCCTGTGGAGCTGCCTCAACTCACACAGGCTGATGTGGTGCGTGTGTGGTGGAGTGAGTAGGCTGGGATGGTGGAAAGGAGTGAGTGGGCACGGGTGGGTGGTGGCCAGGTGTCATGTAGTAACAACGAGTATGGACAGCTGGGCACGGGGGACACACAGCCACGGTCTCTTCCTGTGGAGTTGCCTCAGCTGACGCAGGCTGACGTGGTGCGTGCATGCAGTGAGTGGGTATGGGTGAGTGAGCACGAGTGGGTGGGCGTGGGTGGGTGGGCAGGAGTGGTGATGGCGTGAGGCAGCAAGCAACAAGTATGGGCAGCTGGGTACAGGGGATACCCAGCTATGCCGCAGCTTACCCAGGCCGAGGTGGTGTGTGCTGCTTGCATGCCCGATGCAAGCCATGCATGTGTCGATCACCACCTCTTGCATGGATTGCATCTCCCATACCCGCACTTCCACTGCGTTCTCACTTGAACAACTCTTGACGCACCACCTCCATTGCACAAGTCTTTCTCGCACATGCACACAGTGCAAGTGCAAGCGCAGCGCTTATGGCAAGGGCAACTCGTCATGCTGATTGTGTGACCCACGTGTAGTGAGCGTACCAGGCACAGCAGGTGTGCAATGACACATGGATCTTCCGCTCTGAGTCTCTCCCACTAACCCATGCACGCCCCGCCACGCATGCGTAGTTTGCGGTTGTGTAAAAGAGGATATCTTAGTCGTCTGCCCTTCTTACGGTCGTGTGCACACAGGAGTCAGTGCCTCTTGCAGTTCGGTTCGCTCCTCTCTTTTCGTCTTCAATCACTCGCTCGCCCCTCTCTCTCACGGCTCAATGTGCTACAACTCTACTCTTCCTCACTATTCACCTTCACCCTCTGCACCGCACGTGCATGGCATGGCATGGCATGGCATGGCATGGCATGGCGTGGCGTGGCGTGGCGTGGCGTGGCATGGCATGGCGTGGCATGGCATGGTGTGGCATGGCATGGCATGGCATGGCATGGCATGGCATGGCATGGCATGGCATGGCATGGCAGGTGGACATAACAGCAGGGGGGTGGCATTCCATGGCAGTCACTCGCTCCGGACAGGTGAGCAGCCAGCAGCAGGCAGCAGGCAGCAGGCAGCAGGCAGCAGGCAGCAGGCAGCAGGCAGGTACGATGCAGTCAGGTAAGTCAGCTGCTAGCGCCAGACGGTTTAGGCTCATGACTCACCAGATGGCTCATGACTCACCAGATGGCTCATGGTTCAGGCTGCTACCTTCCCATACTCGCATCAGAAAGTGGGTTGTAGCCCCACCTTCCCAGACCCCTCGCTTCCCCTGCTCTCCTTTCCTCCCCTCCCTCATCGTGATCCATTTCATCATTTCCCTGTCAACCCTTGCCAACCATTCCCCACTACCGCTCACCATCCCCACTGCCTTTTTTCATCACCACTCACTATACAGGTGTGGGCATGGGGGAGAGGGGAGCACGGGCGGATGGGGTTCGGCGACGATAAGACAATCAAAGCCGTGCCAACTGTTGTAACACTGCTGGCGGGAGAAACGGTGGTGCAGGCCTCGTGTGGCGGCACACACTCCCTTGTTGTCACGCTTGACGGGCGAATGTTCACTGTGAGTCGCTGTTGATGGGTGAATGTTCACTGTGAGTCGCTGTTGGTGGGCGAATGTTCACTGTGAGTCGCTGTTGGTGGGCGAATGTTCACTGTGAGTCGCTGTTGGTGGGCGAATGTTCACTGTGAGTCGCTGTTGGTGGGCGAATGTTCACTGTGAGTCGCTGTTGGTGGGCGAATGTTCACTGTGAGTCGCTGTTGGTGGGCGAATGTTCACTGTGAGTTGCTGTTGATGCTAAATATCTACTCTGTGTAGCTGCTAATGGTATTTATTCACTCTGACTAGCAGACACACTGTCGTATTGCTTGCCTTGCCTTGTCCATACACAACCACTACCCCCCATGTCTTCAACCCTTCCATTCCAGTTCGGCAGAGTGGACGACGGCAGGCTCGGGCCAGCAGGCTCGGTAACAACAGGCGACCTCGTCAGAGTCCCTCTCCCAGGGGATCCCGATGCTACCTTCCACCCGGACGACCATCCGAACCTGCACAGAAGGCTCGGCAGCATCAGCCGCTCCCTCAGCAACTCCTCTGAGCAGCCGAGAAGCCGATGGCGGGCGGCATTTGCGGTGTGTGGTGGGCGGCACAATTTGGCACTATTGTGTCCCGAGGAGGATCTGTGTGAGGTGAGCTGCCATTTGCCTTGGCACAAGGCACAGAAGGAGAGAGAGGGGCAGAACGGGCAGAAAGGGGGAGTGGGGCAGGTGCAGGGAAGTGGAGGGGCGGAGGCAGCAAGCAAGGCAGGGACGGATGGAATAGAAGGGGGAGATGTGAGCCCACAGCAGGCTGGAAGCAAAGGTAATGAGGAGCGTGCAGAGGGTGCTGCTTCAATAGAAGGTAGTGACAAATAGGTGTACCGTACTTCCTTTAGGCCACAATGCAATAATTCATATTAGGCTGAATGTCTCAGAGCCCTCTAGTGTAATGAATGCATTTGAGCTGCCTGCTGTCGGCACTCCCATCCTCTCGTCGTACGACTTATAAACTGGCACTGAAGTCCAGGTGTTACAACAACATTCTACCTCACAGCAGCAGCATCCCGCACGGAAACCAACCGACTAATACCCGGTACAACACCTTGGCAGCTTGCTGGCTGGCAAGTCCACAGCAGTTCCATGAGGCAACACCTTGTCTCACTAGATCCTCTCAGATACCACCCTCACAACATTATCCACCACGCACTCCAGGTCGCCATCACCATGCACGCGCACCACATCGCCTTCACCTTCCCCCACAGCCAGCAGCGCGAGCTGCGAGGGCAGCAGGCAGGGCGTCATGAAGTGGCCCTCACTGTGGTGCCGCTGGGCCAGCCGGTCCGCCAGCACATGGGGAGGCACGTCCAGCAGAATGAAGAGCAGGCGCGGCAAGCATGATGCGGGGGGCTCTGGCGGTGTGCTGCTGCCGCAACACCGGCTGCCTGCTGCGTCGTTAGCTACCCGTTGCAATGCATCTGCCCTGCTGCTGCTGCTGCTGCTGCTGCTGCTGCTGCTACTGGTGCTGCCTGTGCTGGCCTGGCACCCTTTGCTGCTGACTGCTGCAGAAGCTGCACCGCTGGTCTCTGCATGTCTGGCAGAAACACTCTCTGTGGCAGCGCAACCTCTACCCTCCGCACCCCCTGCACCCTCCGCACCCCCTGCACCCTCCGCACCCCCTGCACCCTTGTGCAGCCAATTTCTTCCTTCAACTGCCCCACAGGCCTCCACCCCCAGCTCTCCCCTCACTCCCCATCCATCTCCCCACCTCAGCACATTGCGGTAAGCGGGTGTGAGGGCAGAGCACGCCAGCACCAGGGGGCGGTGGGGTGGGGGAGAGGGATGGGGCGGGGTAGGAGATGGGGAGTGTGGCAGGGAGCAGCACAGTGGGGGGGGTGGCGCGAGTGAATCAGCAGGGGCTTGACAGGTGTGCTGTGGGGGAGCATGGGTCTGGGATCCCCGGTGGGGAGAGGGGCGAGGGAGAGGGAGAGCGTGCGAGGGGCAGAGCAGGGCGTGCAGGGAGAGCAGCCATGGCAGGCGGTCAGCGTCACACAGGGGAGTGCCTCCCGCCATCTTGGCTGCAAAGAGGGGAGGAGGAACAGGGGGCGAGGGGAGGGGCGGCAGAGCGGTTAGGTGTGGTGACAGGCGGTCGGCGTCGGAAAGGGGAGTGCCTGCCGCCATTTAGGCTGGGAGGCGCGGAGGAGGAACGGCGGGGGAGGGGAGGGGGGGGCAGAGCCGTCAGGTGTGGTCAGGTCACAGGTGGTCAGTGTTCAAAGGGAGTGCCTGCCTGCCGGCATCTTGGCTGCTACGGGGGGGGGAGGGGGGGGGGACAAAGTGGGGGCGGGAGAAGGGAGAGTGGGAGGAGGGGAAAGGGGAAGAGGGGGAGTAACGGAAAGGGAGGGGCGATGGGGGATGGGGGATGGTGGGCGGGCACACGCAGCGGCAGCCAGAGTGGGTGGCGTGGTCGCCAGGGTTAGGCAGAGGTGGTGAACATGAGACAGGAGGAGGATGTGAGCCTTCTGTTTTGGGGCAGTGCGGTGGTTCCGAGAGTGAGGTACCACAGGGGGGTTGGCAAGTAGTTTGTTAAAAAAACAGCTCCAATCTCATCCCATCCCACTCCACCCCATCCCAACCCACCATCTCATCCCATCCTATCCCACCTCATCCAATTCCCTCCCATCCAATACCACCCCCATCCCCACCCACCATCTCATCAAATCTCATCCCATCCCACCCCATCCCATCCCATTCCACCCCATCCCATCTACCTTTATTCTCCGGCGAGTGGAAGTCATCAGCGTCGTAGAAATCCCACCCCAGCCTCTCCGCCACGCGACTCCCCACGCGCCTGACCACACCGACCAATCAGCATTGGAGGAATATAATATATTTGAAGAACAGAACTTTAATAACAGAGAATTTACATCGCGGGTGCAGCCCGTGACTGGGCTCGAAAGTGTGGGGTGTTATTCGAGTTCAGCCCGGGACTCGCCGCGAGCTGGCACTCCGTGGTGCCGAGGAGACCATGAGGGAGGGGAAGAGCGCTGCGATGCGGAGACGGGACGCGCCGACGGTTGACGAGATGCGATGCGAACGGTGGATCGCGACTTCGCTAAGCTGCACGAAACGCGCGCAACGAGAGCACGCGCGACGAAGGCACGCGCGGCGAAACGCGCGCGACGAAGGCACGGCGCTACCTCACGTTTTCCCGCAGCCGCTGGGGCCGATGACGACGACCGCGGCCAGGGAGGGTGACGCACGCGAATCCGCCATCGAAGGCTCCGCTCGGATGGGGTGGTGACGTGGCAGCGTAGTCGAGGGAGAATGGCGGCAGATTGTTGTTCCCGCACAGGTCACGATTTTTAGGGAGCGGTTGGGCATGGCGAAGGCGGAAGGGTGTAACGGATATGCGAAGGAAGCGAAATTTCTAGGCTATCGTTATGAGTTGAACTGTGTTACGGGTGCAATGGATCGAGGTAGCGAGGATTGCACTAAGGTGTCAAACGAGTACAAAATGTGAGCGAAGGCATGAGCGAAACATGCAAACGGTAAAGCGGTGCGTGCGAGGTAGCTAGTGCGCTGGCAGTGAGGTTCGGGCTAGTCCCGAAGCGTAGGCTGACACGGCCGGGCCAGCAGTGCGTGGTTTGGCAAAACAGTGCGCGCCTGGCCTCTCGATATCAGGGTGATTCACCCTTATGACCCTTACTATAAGGGCGGGTTTGACGATGCACCCTTTTTTACAAGACTGGTTTTGTTTTCGACCCTTACAAAAAAAAAGTGATCGATTGTACGACACTGATATTTCAGAGCTATGTGGTGTAGTAGCACTGATGAAATCGAGTTCGATCTAAGAGAGGATACCAGGATTGGTCGCGTAAAACACATTTCCCGCGACGGACGACCGCGATAGGTATCGAATTTGGGTCGTCCACATGACAACGATGACTCAACACACTGCAACACCAACACCCTACATAGTATGGTCTAAAATACCTCGATGGTTTTTTTATTTGTTTGCACCCTGATTTTTAAGAGCAGTTTCTGTGAAGCACCCTTACTGAAAGAGTAACAGCTGGGTGTTGGCCTTACGAGGAAGAGTACCCCAAATCCTATCCAGAGGCCTGGTGCGCGCGAAGTTGGCGAAGCCCCGTTAGCAGTAACGGGCGAACAACGGCTGCTGCTGTATGCGATGTTGCAGGTCTCAGTAAGGAATGGCGAGAAAATTCCATACACTACCCCCCCCCCCCCTAAAAAAGCCCCATCCGCTATGCGAGTGCTGGTATATCGCGGAATCCCCGGCTCCTCAGGTACACTTGCAGGGCAGGGTGGTTTTCAATGTTGGCCAGGGGCACCCAGCTATCCTCAGTTGGCGTGCGGTCCTTCCAGCGAACGAGGAATTCAATCCTCTTGATGCCTGTGGGGAGTCAAATCCGATGGCTCAGGATTTTTTCGGGCTCGATGATCGGCTCCGATGCGGGGCGAGTCATGGATGGCCGGCGGTGACGAGGCAGTTGGCTTGTGGTTGGGATGTATGGGCGAAGCAGGCTGACGTGGAACGATGGGCTGATGTACCAGTCGGTTGGCAACAGTAGATGGGCGGTTACGGGCGTGATCATGTGGCTGTTTTGCAACGGACCACAGTAGCGGGGTCGGAATTTTGGTACATCGGGCAGTGGTAAATTATGCGTGTCGGGCAGTACGTAGTCTCCTGACTGGTACTTGACTGGGCGTCGGTGGCGGTCGGCATTGCGTTCAGCGATGGCGTTGGTTTTTTTAAAATGCTTTTGCGGCTCTGGTTCGGGCAGCTTGCAGAATTTCATCGAAATGTTGTGCATGTGGCGTGGGGTTGTCCGGACTCGGCGTCCACGGCACTGTTGGATTCTGCCCGTAGTTCGGGTAAAATGGGGACTGCAGCGTCGTCGCTGACGTGGCATTGTTGTACGCGAACTCAATAAGTGGCAGCTGTTGCTCCCAACTCGTTGGATCGTCGCACGTGGCACGAATCAACTGCTCCATCGTCTGATTCGTCCGCTCCGTTTGACCGTCGGTCTCGGGGTGGTACGACGAGCCGTTGTAGCCTGGTCCCGAACTGCTTCCAAAGGTTCTTCCAGAAGATGCTAGTGAACTTCGTGTCCCTGTCGCTGATAATTGTTGCTGGTATCCCGTGCAGGCGAACAACGGCTGCGATGAACAGGCGAGCGGTTTCCTCGGCTGAGATCGACTTCTTGCACGCAGCGAAGTGTGCCATTTTCATCAAACAGTCAACGACGACCATTACCGCGTTGTTACCCCCAGGGTTCGAAGGCAACCCGTGACGAAATCCATGGTAACCTGCTGCCAGGCGCGCTCGGGTGGTGGTATTGGCTGCAACTGACCCGCCTTTCGCTTCCCTCGAACTCTTCATCACCTGACACGTGGGGCACGAGCCTACGTGCTGCTGCACATTGGTCAACAGCTCCGGCCAGTAGTAGTACCGCTGCAGTTGTTGTCACGTTTTTTCTACTCCAAAATGTTCCGAGGTAACCCCGTCGTGTGCCTCCTGCAGTAGCAGCTCCCTCAGTAGTGAGTACGCAGGTACCCAGATGCGGTTGGTACCTGTTTTTACGTAATAAACTCCTTTAGCTTCTACTAGTTGCTGTGAATTTCCGGTCGTGAAAAATGGGTCGGTGTGGTATCCTTGGGTGAATAGGCATGTTAAAAACGGGTTGGTTTGGGCGAGTAGGATGGCGTGGAGTTGGGCGGTAGGGCGGGTGAGTGCGTCGACGATGTTGGATGCGCCTTATTTGTATGTAACTGTGTAGTGGAAGTTGGACTCCAGATAGTCCAACCAGCGGATCTGTCGCGGATTGAGATTCGGTTGGGCGCGGAAATACTATAGTGATCGGTGGTCTGTCCGTACTGTCACGTCGGTGCTGGTCAGGTAACATCGCCACACCTTGAACGCATGCGCGATCGCCAGCATCTCGCGATCGTATATCGGGTAGTTGCGCTCTTGCGGGACTCGTACGCGATTGGCTGGAGGCCGTTCCCGAAATCCTGCAACAGTACTGCTCCCACAGCGATGTCACTTGCGTCGGTGACGAGCTCGAACGGTCGGTGCGGATCTGCGATGTGAAGCACGGGCGGCGAGCACAAAATTTTCTTGAGGGCCGAGAAGGCAGCTTGCTCTTTCTCCCCCTACGTGTACTCAACCCCCTAACTCAGGAGGTCGGTCAGCGGGGCGGTCAGCTTCGCCATGTCGGGGACGAACCGGCGCACGTAGTTGACAAACCTCAAAAAACTCTGCAGCTTAGTCAGTTTTGTTGGCGCGTGCCAAGCCTGAATCATCGCGATATTTTTTTGTCTATTTCCATGCCGTCAGCTGAAATAACTTGACCTAAAAACTCCAGTTTGTTCTAAGATACTCGCACTTAGACGCTTTTGTCAGTAGGCGGTTCTCACTCAGTATTTTAAAAACTGCTTCGATGTCCTGTAGGTGCTGTGCTCTGTCGGGGCTGTAGATCAGTATGTCGTCAAAGTAGACGATGACGCACTTATTTAAAAGCGGGCGGAATGCCTCGTTCATCGTCATTTGAAAAGTTTGGCAGGGGCGTTGGTCAGGTCGAAGGGCATTACCATGTATTCGAAGGATCCGTAGCGTATTCGAAAAGCTGTCTTGGGGAAATCGGGCGGATTAACGCAAATCTGGTGGTAACCCCCTCTAAGGTCGATTTTCGAGAAAACCCGGGTTGTGTGCATTTGGTCGATCAGTTCGTCGACTCGTAGGATGGGGTAACGGGACTTGATGGTAACCCTGTTCAGTGCTCGGTAATCGATGCACATGCGAAACCCTCTATCCTTCTTCGGTGTGAACAGTATCGGTGCTGCGAAGGGAGACGAACTCGAGTGATTGAATGAACTCCTTCTCGAGCAGGTAATCCAGCTGCTTCCGTATTTCGTCCAGTTCGGGTTGGGTCAGTCGGAACTGTCGCTGTACTGTCAGTTGTGCCCAAGGTTCTAACTCTATCCTGTGGTCGTGCGGTCGCTGAGGTGGCAGTCCCGTCGGCAGGTCGTCCGAAAATATCCCACTGTACCGCTTCAGGAGTGCTATCAAGTCATCCGGTACGTCGGCCAACAGGTTCTGTAAATCCCCCCCTTGGTTTGCTGCTTCGGCTTCTCGAACATCAACTGCTACGGCGCGTTTCATCGTGATCGCGTTGACACGCACCGACGAAGACTCAGGCGAGCCCCAGCGAGGTAAGGCGATGTTGTTAATGTTCACTCGCACGGTGCAGTCACCCGTCGTCCAGTCGATTCGCGTGCCGTCGTAACCAATTACGGCGGAGTGAAATGTCGATTCCGTCGAGGGTTGTCGCGAGCATTACCTAGCTAAACGTGAAGTTAACCCCGCATCGAATCCGAGCCCGGTCTACGCGTTCCAGTATCGCCAGTTGCGTGCCGTCAACTAGTCTTGCGTCAACCTCAGGTAAGCATCGGTCTAGTGGCAGTTTCAACTTCCGTGCCGTGGCACTGTTGATGAGGCTGTGGCAGGATCCCCCGTCTACGAATAATTTAACTAAGTATGTCCCAATTTTCCCAC